GGGGGGAGAAATAGAAGCCAACAATTTAACAGCAAGATTGTTTTAGACAATTAGAAATCCCATAGGGATCACACCACAGTGTAATGTTGACAGAGAGACTGGAGGTGATAATTCCTCAAAAGAGAAGTGACATCACAGGACCAAGAGCTAGTCACTTGGAGATTGGGGGACAAAACATATAGATGTCCCCTCTTCAGGTATAGGAACAAATGCAAGGGCCCTAAAGGTGAAATGAGCTTGGACTTCTTGAGTCCCAAGTGACTGGATTATTGATGGTAAGGAAGGGAATAATATGAAATAGGGTAGAAAATGTAGGTGGGAACTAGAAAATACAAGATTTTGTAAGCCAGTGGTTTTATTCTAAGACTAATGGAAAGGCATGGGAGGGTTTTTAAGCAAAAGGAAGACATGATCCCTTTTATGGTTTGGTAAGCTGGTTATGTGGAGAATGGATCACAGAGGGCAGGAGTGGAAGCAGAAGCAAGGTGAGAGAGGGTAGCTATTTGGACTAGAATGGTGGCCATGGAAAGACATAGGTGAATTCGGGATGCATTTAGTGGGTAGAGCCAACAGGACTTCTAGTGGTTTGGATATGAGGTGGGATGGGGGTGTTGAGGGAAAGCCCATCTTTGTTAGTGACAGACACACTGGATAAAAACAGCCCTAGGTGTATGAGCAGTTCCAGAATATCATTGGTTATGTTGCTTAAAGGGGAGCAGGGTCAGCTTTCATTTCCTTAATACGCGAGTCTCCAGCTCAGTAAGCTACTGCTCAGTCTGCGTGCTGAGAGGTTCTGAAAAGGTGACTTAAACACTGAGCTCTGCAGTCAGCCAGGCTGCCCCAAATATGGCTCTTGGGTAGATGTTTTGGTGAGAGGAAAAAAGCTTTCTAATAACTAAGATGTAACCAGTGCTTGATGGGACTTGAAGTTGTTGAGAAAAGAGCAACACAATAAGCCAGAGATCCAACTGGGTCAACACGCAGCTGGCATTTTAGCTAGCCCTGAGCAAGCACAGACAGGCAAAACAAACAAAAACAAACCCAGTGTCTGACTTTACCACCCAGCACTCGTTATCCTCTTAAGTTCCCAAACCTCCCATAGTCATAGACTTTTCTTTTTTAAATTTAATATAATTTAATTTAATTTTTTCCATCACCATTCATCTCCTCTAAGCCCTCATCAACCTCCACCCTGCAATCACCACACCGTTGTCCACATCCATGGGTTCTCTCTTTTATTTCTTTTTTGCTCAATTCTTCCCCCCAACTCCTCCCTCACCTCTATTCCCCCAGCTGTCTCCCTGCCCTCTATCTATGAGTCTGTCTCTATTTTGCTTGGTAGTTCAGTTTGTTCATTAAATTCCACATGTGAATGAAATCGTATGGTACTTGTCTTTCTCTGACTGGCTTATCATGGACTTACAGCCACCCACCGTGTCCACACTCGCCTAATCTTCAAGACCGAAAAGGAGGCTGATGTAACTGGGGCCAATCTACCCTTCCTCCCATGAACGTGTATTGAGTTGCTGCTGTGCACCAGGCACTGTTTCCCACAGAAGCTTATAGTCTTAATGACACTATTCCTCAGTCATTTGTTAACATCATAGGGTACCTACCACAATTTATTTCTTTAGACTTCACCTCCCTGTCTCAGCTCACTTATACCAAGGCAACTCAGAGCATGCTGTTGCCTTTAATTTACTTTTTTAAACTTAAAAATTTTAATTTAAAATTTTAATTTTTTTAGTAGGACAGGCATATCCAAATCCATGAAACAGATATTTAGAATGATTAATTATAAAGTGAACAAGTAGGTAGCCAGCTCCAGAAATAGAATATAACTATCACCCGAGAGGTAACCCACATTCTGACCTTTATGATAAAATCACTTCCTTGCCTTTCTTCGTGGTTTTACCTCTTATGTGTTAAATTTAACTTCTGAAATTGGTTGATGCAGGTATGAACGAACATCAGTGAAAGATGTACCCGTTCCCTTTTTTGAAAGTTCAGGCTTCCCTGTTGATTGTCCCCTTTCCCCACACACTTGTCCCATTTTCCTTCTGTTTTTCACTTGTGGGATTTACTTTAGCAAGACTGACAGTGGGGTCCAGGGCAGATGGGAGGGACATCTACCAACAGCAGTGCCACAGAGCTATTTCTGGTTTCCCTTCATGTTTTAGTTCTTATGAAGTTCTATCTTTCCTCAGCCTCTGGGGTTCATGCCTGCTGTAGCCATCAGGGATATGGTTGCTTGGGTGAAGAAAATTCTTGCTGAACTGGTAGAAGATGGGCCAGTGAAGCTGAAGTTAAGAACTGTGTCCCTCTGGCCTGAGTCACAACTGGCACCAGCTCCAGCAAAGGGCTGTTAACAGCATGTCATGTGGTTAATGTGAAAAGAAGTTTCTGTAGATTTCTTCTAAGCTGAAGGGAGGAAGCAATCCCCATAGGCAGTCATACAGTACATTAGGCTCTCAAAAATCTCTCAGCCCTGCAGCAAGCTTTTCACTTACAAACATTTTTCATTGTTTTAAAGGGTAAATAATGTTTTTCTGGACCGACTCCAAGGCAAAAGTCAACCAGGTGGCCTGGAGCACTCTGGCGGCTATTGGAATATGAATAGTGGTAACAGCTGGGTGAGTTTTTCCTTTTCTCTTAAAAAATATCTTTCAAATTTGAAGAATAAAAACAATGAGAATTTAAAAAATATGCTGTGGCCTTCTCCCCAGATATTTTTTGGTGTGCTGTTCAGCTGTGTGATGGGCAGTCAGCCAGGGAGATTACTGTAAATTCCTCAATAGCTTCTGAGAGGGAGAAAGTCCTGCTTTCAGCTCTGGCCGATCACAATAAAAAATGACACCTGCTTTTGTTCTGAATGTGATTGCCTGGACTGTGAGGCTTTTTATCACCCCTGGCCCAGGCCCACAGCTAAAACAAATGAACTTTTTTTTCTTCTTCAGGGAGATTTTAAGTGAAATATGATTATAAAAATAGTAAGCATTCTCTAGTAATACTTTTTTTGTGTGAAACTAGCATATCAAAGTAACCAGTATGTAATTTTTCACTGCAAAATTATTTTTGTAAAAAACCCTACAGCAAAAAGCACTTTTTGAAAATGAAATGTCTTTACAGATTTCTGTGAAGAAAACCTTGCAACTTGTAATATGTGTTTAATGTGTTTTGCATGCACCATGTATTATTGAACCAGCACCAGGATTTTGGAATGCATATGATTGTGGGGTTTGCAATGTGTATAGTAGGCTATACACAAACTAACTGCAGTAGGCTTTACAATTTAATTGAAGCCCAGGTATATATGTATCTACTCAAAAAAAGGAACACATAGAAATCTTTAAACTACAACAAAATAATCAAGTGCTTGCTGACCTGGGACGTCTAGAGAAGATCACTCTCTAATAAATACTTGATGGACAAAAGATCATTTTTGAGAAGATAAGCTGTTAGGAATCTTACATGCATGTTTTCTTAAAAGGCATCAAGTAGTTAAAATTGATAGATTTCACAAATGTTAAGTGTAAAAGTGAAGAGAATTGAAATTAAGCAAGTTTGCAGAGAATGCATAGTGCATGTATCTGTTTATCTATAGTGTATGCTCCTGTGTATCACTGTGGCATTCAGAAGAGACAACATGGAAGAGAGAAAAGAATCTAAGCACACTGTTTTTGCATCATATGTTACAAGTTACAAATTACTGACTTATTCATGCAAATATGTGAGTAGGAGTCATGTGGAAAATGGGGCACTGTGAGTTTAAGACATTATCCGAGTTATGAAACATGATTGAAACTCAGATTTTGGACAGGGCTTGGAAACTTGCTGCACATTTTCTCTTCTACTCAACCACTCTTCAAATTTAGAAAGAACCTAGAAAAATACCTGGGATTGAGGAGAAGATGATGAGAGAGTAAATGAATACTGAATGGGCTGCTGCTAAGAGACTAAGGATTGGGCTCACCTTATGTAAAGGAGCTATAAACCTTTGCTTAGGTTCCTCACCAATTAAAAAGAGAGGAACATTGTTTTCTCATGTTGTGTTGTGAGTGGGGGGTGATTGAAGTTTTCTTAGTGGGGCAGGCATATCGAAGTCCAAAGTGGTTATTAACTCTTCCCTTACTTGAAAGAAATGTGATAGAAAGGTGAGAACTTCCTCAGGCTCCGGCTTCGCCTCCACATCTACTTACCTACAGACATCTCTACCTGCACGCCTGCCCTTCCTTGTGGACCAGTTTCTGTCTTCTCCACTGACTGGGGACTTTGTTCTACTAATACTTCTCCCTTCTCCTGAATCATCAGATGTCCCTTCTCAACTAGAAAATTCCCATCAGCATAAAATATTAATAACTATAAATTATATTGTTACCACCTTTCCTTTTGCTGTTTCTTTGTTCCCTTTAGAGCAAAACCAAGAAGCGTCTATTCTTGCTGTCTCTAACTTCCTTCCTCCCATTTCTCTTAAAGTCACTCTAATCAGGTTTTAGACTTTACCAGTGTAACAAAAATACTCTTGTCATGGTCACTAACAACATCCACATTGCAAAATCCAATGGTTATTTCTCAGTCTTCAGTTTTGACCTATCAGCATCATTCATCATGGGGAAACACTTCCTCCTCTTTGAAACTTTCTTTCCTTGGATTCTTGGACACTGTACTCTCCTGGGTTTCTACCCATTTCATTGGCCAAGCCTTTCATTTTCCTTTGCTGAATTCCCTGCATCTTTTTGTCCTCTCGACATCGGAGTGCCCCAGGGACCCACCTTAGACAACCTTCTGAACTTTATGTTCACTTAGTATCTTGGTGGCCTCATTTATTCTCATAAAATTAAAAAGCACATGCTTATTACTCCCAAATTTTAATTTCCAGCCTAGATTTCTTCCTCTATACCCTAGGCTTCCATATCCATTTGTCTACTCATCTCTACTTGCGTACCTAAAATACATTTCAACCTTAACATATCTAAAGGGTATCCTTTAATCCATTTACCTTAATGCTCTACCTGCACTTTTTTCCTGTTTGTGTAATGGTGCAACCCATCTCTCACATCCCTCCGCAGATGAAACACCACAAAATATTCTTGACTCTTCCTTCAAAATCTGTCCAGCCCAACAGCTTCTCACCACCTTCCCCACTATCATCCTGCTTCCAGCCTCTATCAGTGCTCATCTAGATTCTTGAAATAGCCTCTCAGGTGGTTTCATTGCCTCCACACTTCCCCACCTAGAGTCTGTCCTCTGATGAGAACGATCCCTTTGAAACAGATCAGATCCCATCGCTCTTCTGTTCAAAACCCTCCAGTGGCTCCCATGACTCTCCAAGTCACTTGGAGTAAAAACCAAAGTCCTTACAGTAACCTACCAGGTGCCCCATGGCCTGGGCTCCACTGTACCCCTCTGGTATCCCCCCATGCCGCCCTTCCTCAGTCCTCCTAGCCACTCTTGCTTCTTGCTGTTCTTTGAAAACTTGAGGAATTAACTGCTCTCACCTTATGGCCTTTGCACTGGCTCCTACCTCTCCACTCTTCTCTAAATTATCCATATTATCTGTTCTCCTTCAAGATTTTTCTTGAATTCCACCTCAATGAGGGCTCCTTGACCATTTATTTACTGCTGCCACCTGTGTCTTTACCCCTGGCTCTTGCCATCCTCTTTCCAGGCTCCACTTTTTCCCCCTGTAGCACTGCAACTTCTAACATAATTTCCCAACATCATTAATTTACATGTTTTGTTGACTATTTACTCTTGGTCTCTCCCTGTGGTAATTTATGTTCCATATGCCATCAGAGCTGGGCCCTTTGGTTGTATTCGAAGCACAAAACAGTGACTAGAACTCACCACATGCACAAGGAAACAGGTGGCTGTGATTGAGGGTCAACAAAACAACAAAGATTTAGAATGAAATTATGTAATATACTAAAATGACTAGATATTGAATTTTAAAAAGCTATGCATAAAACATTTGATGAAATAAATATTGTATTTAAAACAATGAGCAAAAACGAGAGACAATGCCAACCAAGAAGATTTGGAAAAAACACACACAAAACAGCACAGCTTTTAGGAATAAAAAACATAATCTTTGAAATTAAAGCACTTAATGAACTTATCATAATAAAGGGAATGCAAATTAAGAACTAAACCAAAATACTATTTCTCATCTATTATTTGGCAACTCCCTCCTCCCCAAAAGGAAAGATTGACAAAATACTCTGTTGGCAACACTATGGAGGAACAGGTTCTTGCACACATTGTTGGTGCAAATTCAAAATGATGCCAACAGTATGTAGGTTAATTGTTACTGTCTTCCCATAAAATAAAAACTAGACATGGTCCAGAAAAGTTATACTAAGTGTTCTAGGAACAGATGATTCTAAATGCCTGGAAAGATTTTTTCAGATAAATGAAAAGGAGGAACTATTCCCAAAGAGGATTAAGCAGGTAAATGTAACTTTCAATCAAAATTTCACAAAGACTATACAGAAAAAAAATGATAGACCAGTCTCATTTATAAACATGGATTCAGAAATTTTCACAAAATTTTGATGGACTCAATAATGAATTCTTAAAAAGGCATATTATGTTCTTATCAAATTGAATTTATTCCAAAATGCAGGCTTAGCTTATCATAAATGAATATATAAACAAATTTTAAAAAACTACAAAATGAAACAAACAACAAAAATTTACCTCATAAATTATAGGACAAACACCATATGATCATTTCAATAGTTACAGAGAAAGCATTTGATAGATTTCAGTACTCATTTGTGGTAGAAACTTCTAGCAAACTAGGAATAGAAAGGAATTTTTTTAACCAAAAAGTCATCAAAAATCTATAATAAAAATATATCAAAAACATTTTTTACATCAGATACAAGGATTGAAAAAAAGTTTATAAATCACAGATAATACAGAATATTGACACTGATAATATGCATGGATCTTATTTAGATTTTCCCAGTTTTACTTCACTGTGTTTGTCTGTGTGTGTACTGAGTTCTATACAGTTTTATCACATACGTAGGTTCATGTATCCACCAGAGAAGATTCTAAACAATTCCATCAATATAACAATCTAATGTTACCATTTTATAACCACACTTATCCCCTTTTTAGAATGAGTCCCCATACATAACTACTGGGAACTAACTACAAGACTGTCTCCATTTCTAAAACTTATAATTTCAAAAGTATTAATATAAATGGCATCATATAGTATGCAAATTTGGGGAATGGCTTTTTAAAAATAATTTCTTGGAAACCTATCAAAGTTTTTGCATATGTTAAGAGTTTATTACTTTTGCCCAGCCTGTGTAGCTCAGTGGTAGAGTGTCAACCCATGAACCAGGAGGTCACGATTCAGTTCCTGGTCAGGGCACATGCCTGGGTTTGGGGTTTGATCCCCAGTAGGGGGTGTGCTGGAGGTGGCTGATCAATGATTCTCTCATTATTGATGTTTCTCTCTACCTCTCCCATCCTCACTCTGAAATTAATTAAAAAATATATATGTAAATAAATATATAAAAGAGTTTATTACTTTTTATTGTTGTGTAGTATTTCATAATATGGATATACTACAGTTTGTTTAACAATTCACCCATTTGAGGTTTTTTCAGTTGTATTTCTTTTGTTTTTGTTTTTTTTTACTTTTTTTTTTGTTTGTTTAATATATCTTTATTGATTTCAGAGAGAGAAGAAAGGAGAGGGAGACAGAGAGATAGGAACATCAATGATGAGAGAGTCATTGATCGAGCCCGCAACCCGGGCATGTGCCCTGACCAGGAATTGAACCCCGATCGCCTGGATTCCAGGTCGATGCTCAACCGCTGAGCCACGCCCGGCCGGGCTCAGTTGTTGACTATTGCAAATAAAGCTGCTGTGAACAATCATGGAAACTAAAATAAATAAATAAACAAACTGCAGATGATAAAGTTATCTACCTAAAGTACAAAAGAACTCATATTCAAATTTTTAGAATAAATAAGGGCCCAGCAATGAATATGTTTTATAAATAAAAAGTTGATAAAAGGTTAGTATATAGAATATATAAAAATGGGACATTTACTTAGAAGTTTATAGCTGATGACTGAGCTCCCCTGAGGAATGAGAGAAGGAAATGATGGAAGTAATAAAAAGCCAAAGACACAAGGAAAGGAAGAAGACAGAAAATATGATAAAACTATGAAAAAGTAGGCAAAAGGAAAGAAAAAGTAGTTTCTGGAAACATCATATAGATACTTAAGCAGTAGGCCTCTGATAAATGTATGCTGGTAGACAAATTAGATTGATCTTTATTTTTAAACCTTTTAAAATTTAAATCACAGTTTTCTCATATTACTTAATATTACTTAATATATAGGATGTCCCCCCAAAAATGTATACACACTTTGGCTGCCATTATTAATTCCGGTGGGTTAAATCTGAAAAGAAAGAAACATCAATTGAGCTATCAGCTGTTAAAATATATATACATTTTTGGGGGGACACCCTGTATTCATTATTTGATAATTAAAAATTCCTTTTGTATTTAAAAAGTGAATTTTGGTTTTCTGAAATCCTCTATTAGTTTTCATGATGCACCTAGAGTATGACATTTAAAGAATCACTTCAAATGATCTTTTCTCTGATACCAGTCGGTGAGAACCTTTGGGATACTATGGCAACTGTAAACCCTTTGTCTTCAAGGGCAGTTAAGTATTTGCCATGACCTGTGAGACAACTGAGCTTTTAGTTTCCTGGAGTGTTAGAACAGCACTAGTCTGAATCCAGCTTTCTGGGTGTCTTGACTTTTGCACATAGTTGGTGGGGAGGGGACTCATTTAATCAATCTCCCTTTCTCAAAGTCTCCTTAGAAGTTACCTTCCTACTGCCTAATGCAATGCAACTCTACTCCATATATTTCCATTTAAACTGCTCTGCTCCACGCTGTGTTAGTCCTGTCCTTGCTGTAATTATGGAGGTGGGTGGCAATATTTATGAATATTACTGTTTGTGACCTCGGTTAGCCTATCTCTAAGAACACAGCTGATGAGCCATCACTCAAGGTGCCATTGCATTGCTGACAGAGATTATTTTGTGAATCGAATACAATGGGACTCAAAAATTAAATCATTTCATTGGGACTTTAAATCATTAACAAATAGTCACTTAAGCCTGATGTAGTAAGAGTGTTCTTTGTAGGAACTTTGTTGTGGTTCACAAAGGCTTTGGATTTTGTTTTGCTGCTTGTAGTAATTTTGTTTTCTTTTTTCCCCAGGATATATGAGAAATATTTACTTACATCTGGCCTTCATCAACTGACCTTGAAAACCCCAATGAGATGCTTTTTGAAAATGCAATTTTGTTTACCTTCAGCGCTTTTACCTTGACTTCAACTGCCCACCCACACAGCTGAGCAGCCGAGATGAAGGGGTTCCCCCTGTCATTGTTTATGCGTGTTTGCAGGAGCCAGTTACTGAACTCATATTTAATCTCTACTGCCAGTGAAATGTTATAGTATTTTTCTAATTGGTTTTGTCTCTTATTGGAAGTATAATTACAGAAATGTTAATAAGAGAGAAATGAGAGAATCATTTGATGCTTTCAGGTTAGTGGGAGTTATGGGTGCTGCATGCTTGTCTCTTTAAGCAGCTAATTCTCAGACCAGGTTTAGGGAAGCTTTGACATCTTTTTTAGATTTTAGTCCCTACTTTCTCAATTCAGCATATAAACATGAGCAAAAGAAAAAATAAAATTTTAATCTCTTTTAAGCAAATTTATAAATAAATTTTGAATTACCTTTGCATAGATTGTTTGCTTTTATTTTTAATAAAAAGATCTTGAATTTTTCTCTCTTTTGAGGGCTTTTATTTTTATATTCTCCTTTACAATCCATATAGATCAAATGTAGTACTGTAACCACCAGGGGATCTGCTTTGGTCTTGATTTACTTGCTAATACTGTTCCTCTAGTTTTTCAGAGTGGGACAATTAATTTCCTGAAAGGCCAGTGTTTCCCTAAAAATCAGCTAGACACAACTGTAGACACCACATATGGTTTGGAGGTGATTTGGAAATACGTTTTTGCTGTATGCAACCTATTTCCTATTGCTGATTCAGTCAGCTTTTCCATTCTACTTTTACAACCTTGAACCAGTTTTTAGATCCTAGAGTGCAAGAATATTGGTTTTCCATGCTGTATGCTCCAGGCCCCTGACATATTATATAGAGGAAACATTGCATTCAGGCTTAGAATGAAGGTTGGAGGAATGAATAATTTTTGCAGCTGGACAACTAATAATACTTTGCAGCATTAAGAGATCTTTTGTGTTTCCAATTGTTCTGTTAAAATTAACTTTCCAAATCTCTGTATTCAGGGAAACGTTGGACTTCAGGTTCTTGGGCCAAGACTAAGGGGTGGGGGACTCACAGGAACAGGGCGAGGGTGTAGTATAGAAAGGATTGAATTTGGTGGGAGTGGTGGTGGCTGAGGACAGATGGTTCACAGATAGTTTCTCTGGAGTAAATAATGCAGATACCCTTGGTTTCCCTCTCTTCTGCCAGCTGAAACTGCATTAGTGCTGTGGACACTAATAGGAAATGTTTGGTCCATTTGAAAGCCTTGCCATTGCCTCCTCCTGGGTTGGAAGCACCGCCTAACTGATTGTAAATATGTGACTGCTGAGGGCATTTTACTGCTGTGGCATGCGGCCACTCCAGCCCTCCACCTGCCAGCCTGGCTACCTCACAGTCCACAGCAGTGTTCAGGTTTCTGTGTTTGGCCTCAGAGTCCCTCACTTGCTGTTGTTTTCCAGTGTGTCCCTGGGAACTGATGTAAGGGAAAGGGATGCTTTCTTACTTTGGTGGCTCTCTGGAAAGTTGGAGTCAATTTCTCTTCCACTACCTGCTGTGTCCTGCATTCTCAAACAAAGATATTTGTTCAGGTGTCTGTTTTCAAGTTTAAAAAAAAAAATCATTGTGCTGCTATGGAGAATTATGACTTCATGGCCAAAATTTTCTAGAATATGAATGGGGTTGTAAACATCTTCCTTGAACAATTCTCTGTGTAGGTGGAAGTAACCAGAGAAGAACTGAGAGTTTTGTTAAGGGAGAGGACCATTTTGTTTTTCCACATTTAATCTGCCCTGTTGAATCAGTTAAAATAAAATTTTACTTGTAAGCAACTAGATAGGAATCCTAAATTCCAATCACCATCTATCTCTATGCTTTCAAAGTTCATTCTTTTTCTGAAAAAGAAAATGTAAGCAAGGCAAATTGTCACAAAAGTAATAGGTGTTTTGTTATAGAAACTTTAGACATAATGATGACTAATTAAAAGGAAAAAACTAGTGATTTTTCAAGTTCTGTCGATAATCATAGTTAATATTTTGGTGTGTATCTTTCCAGATATTTTTCTATCTGTGTGTCAAAATCCCTGCAATAAAAATCCTTATAGACACTGCCTACTAATTGGGTGAGGACAGTGACCTAGAATTAGAGTGGGTGGCTCTAATTGAAAACCTATTTATAGGGGTTTTGATATATGTAGTCAGATTACTTCCCAAAAGGTGGGCACCAATATTTATTACCACCAGAAGTATACCCTAGACTCTCCCCAATACTATTAGTGGCTTTTAAGTCTTTGCTTATATGCTGAGTGAAAAATGTCATTTGGAGAAAGTGGAAAATACATAACCATAGAGATAGTGACTATGAGTGTAATTTTAATTTCCATGATATAAAGCAGATAGGTCATGATTAGCTGGACCTTTTCCTATGAAAGTGTGTTTGGAAGTGTGGCTGCTGGAGGAGGTAGCAGGGACTGTGTTAGAACTGTTAATAGGAATAAGAAAATACTAGGGCTGTGAGGGATTTTTGTTTGTTTTTAACTCTATGAACTAGTACACACAGTAGCTAGCTCTTTGCCAATGTGCATGAATAAGATTGGAGTAATCTGTAGTACGTTTAAATGATGAAAAAATACACGTTTCAAGTTACTGTAAGGATTACAGAGAGGAAAAGTATGTTAGGCATTTCTTTCAGGAAGAGGCTCTGTGTTAAAACTCCTTCCTTTTTAAATATTTCATTTTTTAACAATGGAGTTTAAAAAGGATCATAGAGGATTTTTTTTTCTCTCTCACAGAATTATATGCCCCCAAATGAGCGTTTTTATAGGCAAATGTAGGAAAATTTTATCACATTTATTGCCATACCATTGTGCCACCTGCTGGGGCAGAGGACACACGGAGATCTGTGCTGTGACACTCACATCCCCTAGGAAGCTGATTATTGCAACCCCTTTGCTGCTCAGAGCTGTATGCAAGTGCCTACCGCCCCCCTCCTCTCTCCTTCCCTGAAGAGCACTCACTGCCTGTCGCTGTGCTGTAGGATTTGTTCAGTCATCAGAGGGCAGACATTTCATTCTACACGAAATGTTACATGAGTGATCATCACTGGATTATGAACTGATTAGAATTTTTAATTTGTATATTGTAGAATATACAAATAATAGTGCCAAAATGGAGCAGAAATTGTGCTTTAGTAATGAGATAGAACAGATAAGAGAGGAATATTTGAAATTGGACATTATGAATTAGAAAAAAATCAAAAAAATTTAAACAATTTTTGTATTCTGGTCTGTTTTGAATATGCACTATGGAGACTCAAAGATAAGTGGTACAGTTTCTGTCCTCAGGAAACAGAGCACCAAGTTCTGTGGCCACAACAGGCAATCCGCACATCTCAGTGGATGGTGATGTTTGTATCTTTCATATGCTACATGTCAGCACAGGTCAGCAGGACTCCCTCAAGGACCCGGGCCAATGGAGGCTCCCTTGCTTCTTGTATTTCCCCTATAGCGAGGGGAGAAGATGGTGGCAGTATCTTGCACTGGGTAATTAAATACTTTCACTCAGGAAGTGCCACATGCTATTTCTGTTTATATTTTATTGACCAGAACAAGTCACATAGCTATTCCTAACTTTAAAGAAAATGGGAAATAGAATTCTACAATGTTCCCAGAAGAGAACTGGAATATTTGTAAATAGCCCTAAAGACTGCCCTCAAGAATGTACTAACAGGTTGAAGAATCGAGACACAGGCACATGCCCAGCCGACCGTGGCTCAGTGGTTGGGCATCCACCTGGGATCCAGGAGATCCCAGTTCGATTCCCGGTCAGGGAACATGCCTGGGTTATGGGCTCAAACCCCAGCTGTGGGTGTGCAGGAGGCAGCCAATCAATGACCACTCTCTCATCATTGATGTTTCTATCTTTCTCCCTCTCCCTTCCCCTCTCTGGGGTCAATAAAGATATATTAAAAAAAAAAGACACAGCCACATAAAAGCTTATGATTAAAGATACACATATAAATGCAAACAATAGTAGAAGGCTAGTTCAGTTCAAAAGTTATTAAGGGGACTGTGCTATGCATGGAGACTACAAAAATGCAAAAACCAGCCATGAAAGAACTCTACATTGAGTTAGGGACATACACAGAGATAACCTAGGAAAAATATGAGATAGGAATTATACAAAGCAGCAATAAGGCAAAAGTTGTAAGATAGAGGGCTTACATGTAGAGGGTTTGGGGACATTATCAGGTAGCTTGNCTCTACATTGAGTTAGGGACATACACAGAGATAACCTAGGAAAAATATGAGATAGGAATTATACAAAGCAGCAATAAGGCAAAAGTTGTAAGATAGAGGGCTTACATGTAGAGGGTTTTGGGACATTATCAGGTAGCTTTGGCTTTTGGAGGGTTATGAGCAGGGAATGGACCTGATTAGAGTTTTATTTTAAATAAATAATGAGTGATTCATGGAAGATGAATCTGTGGAAGCAGGACCAGAGGAAGAACTAGTTAGAGGTCATTCATCAGTCCTAGTGACCTGGGATGAGAGTTCTAAGATAGAGTGTTGAGTAGAGATGGAGAGAACCATGAGCGTGTGCAGTTCTAAGGATATAACGAAGCAGGACTTTTATAAGCGATGGAATGGAGATGGAGAATGACAAGTGAGATATGAGTTTCGTATTTCTAGCCTGGCTGAGAGTATTGATGGTGATGTGACCACGAAGACGAAGTTTGTGGTATTTCAAAGAAAGGGGAGCCCTGGTGTGGTCAATAAAGAGTTTCAAAGACTATTGATATAAATTCAGTGAGTTCAGGGACTTCATCTTGTTCAATGTTGTATTCCCAATGCCTTGAATGGAGCCTAACAGTGATGCCATAAATATTTGATAAATGAATGGATTTTATGGAGTAAAATTTTCATAGATAAAGAGATATAACTATGGTGGTGGTGGGTGGGGAATTGGGAGCAGGAACATTTAGGGCATTGGGCCCAAGTGGCTGCACCTTTACACCCACACCTCACCCAGTCACCAGGTATTTGGTCATGATATTTGGTAGGGCCACTCTCTGTAGCTGAGACAGACCCTGAAAAAGCTGACAAAGGCTGTCTTGCCCACAGCTGGGCAGCAAGTCCTTCTTTGAGGAGGTATCTGGGCATCACCTTGTCTATGACATGTGTCTTAGATAAGATCGGAAAAAGTGAGATAGGTTACCCCTGGGCATCCTCTGACCTAACCAGAGTGAGAATGCAGTATTCGTGTCTCATATCTACTGGACAAGTCCAGTGTAGAAAGTGGCGAGTGTCAGAGGCCATAGCCTGCTGAGATGAAGATTAGTTTGCAGGAGCTTGTTAGGAAGTACTCTTGGGATCACCAGTACTGGAAGGAGAAAGAGGAGGATTGTGCAGGAGAAGCTGGCCTGTGAGGCAGCCTCAACATA